ATTCAGTGAATAGTGAGGCAACACACACACCAGACTCTGTGTACAGGGGCCACGAGGCTTGATCTGTGTACACACTCGGTAGGCTGTGAAGGGTCGCTCCCCCACCCCTCCTTTACCACTGGTCAACAATCACCAGTCCACTGCCTTACCAAAGTTGAACCAATAAACATATATAATATTATAAATATACTGTATACATTTTATATTTATATACTGTACATACATATAATATTATAAATATATTCATATAATACCTGTATTATAAATAGTAAAATTGCTAAAGTCAACAAGAGTTAAATCGACAATAAATCACAAATAGGGGAACAGACAACCTCTACAGCACAAACCCAGCATGGAGATGTGTGGCAGCTGCTTTAAGTCACTTTGGAAGAGTGTTGTAGGGATTGTATGTAACATTTGTAACATAAGATTTCACCTGAGTTGTACAGGATTACCTACACAATATGCTAACAGACAAGGTACCTACTGGATCTGTCGTAATGATAGATGGATATGGGAAAACATCACCAAACTGATGAATGACATTCCTGAAGTACATAGGCTACAATTCACACAAAAGCTACCAGCAGTATATGCAGAGTATGTAAAGACAGCAATGAACACTGAACACAACCCAGGAGCTGAGAGTTTAGAGAACCAAATTAGCAATGTAGAAGGTCATTGTGTCGAGGTACACAAAAATGAAGGCAATATTGAAGAGCAAACTGGTAATATGAATAAGGAGAGAAAAAATGAGAAAGACAAGAACAAAAATGAGAAAGATGAAAGCAACAAGGAGAAAGATAAGGGCAATACCTGTACCGAGAAAGAATGCAGAAACGAGAAAGTTAGAACAAAACACCGAGGTAGCCAAGGCCTGCACAGAAACAAACAATCAGAATACAAGCACAGATGAAAATATTTGCAGATATTATGCACAAGGGAAGTGCAGATAAGGGACAAGAGGCACGGATTGCACATTCATGCATCCCCGAAAATGCCGAAACATGTTACGGAAGGGCAGATGGCGTTTTGGTACAGAGTGTAGATATTTCCACCCTTAAATATGCAAACTCTCGGTTAATGAGAGGAAACGCTATGATCTTTATTGCCCTGATTTCCACGTGAGAGGGACACAGTGCTATATAAGAGAGGAAGTTCAATATAATAGCCCGGGAATTTTTTTAGAGGCAAGCAGAAACAGAGGGAGGAACAGACAGACAGAAACGTTGCAGAATCAAGAGGGGAAAATGTCCAAGACTGGACGACAATTCGTCATCAAACGCACACATACCATACTCCCCCAACTACACAGAAACTACTACACTCCTCAGTACCGCGTCCAAAACTGGACAAACCATTGCCAGGGCAGTACACCCTGGGTCAGGGTGGAGAGGAGAGAAAGCTACCAAAACCTTCCAGAAGTGACACAATATGGAAAATCATTCATATTTGAAAAAATACAAGGCCTAAAGTCAAAATCAATATTTGGAGCATTCATGGAAACTCATGCAAAAGATTATATGGATAGTGAAATCTGGATTCCAAATTATAATTTATATAGATGTGATAGAGAAACTAGGTCAAATAGAGGAGTAGGTCTGTATATTAATGAGGATCTGGTATGCACAGAGCTACTAAACTCGATTAATGAGGTGATAGATGAACTAGCATAAATAATGGTAGTAGGTCCAAGAGACCCAATAAACTATATAGATGTGATAGAGAAACTAGATCAAATGGAGGAGTAGGTCTGTATATTAATGAGGATCTGGTAAGCACAGAGCTACTAAACTCAGTTAATGAGATGATAGATGAACTAGCATAAATAACGGTAGTAGGTCTAAGAGACCCAACAAATGAGAAGGGGTATTCAATCAATTCAATTTAAAAAATAAGCCAATTTATCAGTCTCCATGGTGTAGTGGTAAGACACTCGCTTAGCGTTCCACGAGCGCTTTGTCATGGGTTCGTATCCTGGCCGGGGAGGATTTACTGGGCGCAAATCCTTAACTGTAGCCTCTGTTTAACTCAACAGTAAAATGTGTACTTGATTGTAAAAACGATTCTTCATGGCGGGGATCGTATTCCAGGAACCTGCCCGAAACGCTACGCGTACTAGTGGCTGTACAAGAATGTAACAACTCTTGTATATATCTCAAAAAAAAAAAAAAAAAAATAAGAGGATTGACTGGGAAAAAATAAATGTAGACCTTGCAAACATTCAATGGGAGACGGTCTTAAGCGACAAAACTCGCACACAGGGAATAGCTCGTGCTTGAAGCACGTTCTTGTGAGGAGGGTCAAAAAGAGGACCACTCTAGAAAGAGAAAGCAGACGACGTTACAGGAGAAGGAAAAAATAACGGAAATGCATAGGCAGACACGACTATCACAAGAAAGGAAAATAAACCTAAACAGGGAGATCGAAGAAATAGAGCAAACTTTGAAGCGATCATACAAGTCTGAGGAAATGGAATTGGAACAGAAAGCTATACAAGAGATAAAGAAAAATCCAAAATATTTTTTTCACATATGCAAAATCAAAAACCTCCACCAGTATTGGACCTTTAATTACAATGTACACAGAAGACAACAAAGAAATTAGTGAAATTCTAAGAAGCCAGTATGAGGCTATGCTTAGCACACCAATAAACAACAATAAAGTTCAAGATCCAGACAGCTTCTTTATGAATGACATTCAAGCCGTAGGTAATATAACGGATATTAACACGAACTCGAAAGACTTTGAAAGAGAAATTAACACTATGCCCATGAACTCGGCTCCAGAGCCTGACTCATGGAATTCAATATTCATAAAGAAATGTAAAGTTCCAGTAGCGCGAGCGCCCAGCACAATATGGAGAAAGAGCCTGGATACAGGGGGAGATACCAGCAGCACTTAAATCTGCAGATATAGCTCCGGTGCACAAGGGGGTAGTAAAGCCTTGGCAAAAAAATTATAGACCAGTTACACTAACATCACACATTAAAGTTTTTGAAAGAGTGATTAAGAATCAAATTTCTAGTTTTATGGAAAATAATGAGCTACACAACCCAGGACAACATGGATTTAGAGCAGGAAGATCCTGTTTGTCACAGCTACTCAACCACTATGACAAAATGACGGAAGCTTTAGAAGAAAAGCAAAATGCAGATTTTGTATACACCGACTTTGCAAAGGCATTCGACAAATGTGACCATGGAGTGATAGCACACAAAATGAGGTCAATGGGAATAACTGGTAAAGTAGGATGCTGGATACTCAATTTTCTGTCAAACAGAACACAAAGAGCAACAGTCAATCAAATAAAATTGAGTCCAAGTGCAGTTAAAAGCTCTGTACCTCAAGGTACAGTCCTTGCACCACTGCTGTTCCTTATTCTCATATGAGATATAGACAAAAATACAAGTCACAGCTTCGTGTCATCCTTTGCAGATGACACAAAAATCAGCATGAAAATTACCTCTGCTAAAGACATTGAAAACCTACAAGCTGATAGTAACAAAGTTTTTGATTGGGCATCAGAAAATAATATGATGTTTAACTGATAAATTTCGGGGAATCAGGTACGGCAAAAATGAGGATCTGAAACATAATACTGGGTACAATACACAATCGAAAATGCCCATAGTAGGAAAACAGCATGTCAAGGATTTGGAAATAATGATGTCTGATGACCTAACGTTAAGGGAGCATAACCAAGCAAATATTGTGTCAGCCAAAAAAATGATAAGATTGATTACGAGAACTTTCAAATCCAGGGATCCCATCACAATGGTTGTACTTTTCAAATCACTTGTGTTGTCCCATCTTGAGTACTGTCTGTACTCACTTCCCCCTTCAGAGCAGAAGAGATTGATGAAATAGAGGGAATACAGAGAACATATACGGCATGCATAGACGCGATAAAGCACCTAAATTATTGGGATCGTCTCAAAGTTCTCCAAATGTACTCACTAGAAAGGAGATGAGAGAGATACCAAATAATATACACATGGAAAATACTGGAGGGCCAGGTCCCAAATCTACACAGTAAAATAACAGCGTACTGGAGTGCACGATATGGAAGAAAATGCAGAATAGAACCGGTGAAGAGCAGAGGTGCCATAGGCACAATCAGAAAACACTGTATAAACGTCAGAGATCCGTGGTTGTTCAACGTCCTCCCAGCGAATATATAAAATACAGTATTGCTGGAACAACCGTGGACATTTCCAAGCTCTCACAAGTCAAACCTGGCCTTGGGCTGGGCTTGGGGAGTAGAACTACTCCCAGAACCCCATCAAGCAGGTATCAAGCAGGTATGTCGTGTGTCCACGCTTGTGTTATTTCTGTGTGTGTGACCCTTATGGCTTGGTGCCATTATTTTGGGAAACATATGTTGCCATGCCTGTGTATGTGTACATGTCATGGTTCCATGCTTGTGTTGGTGGCTCACCTGTTTTAGTAGCCCATGTGGTGTTTGTGTTTTTAGTCTTGTTGTCATGTATGTGATTCTAGCTGTGCTTGTGGCCATGTTTGTTGCCAGAGAAGTGTAATTGTTTGTAAGAGAAGATACTTCTTGGAGAGTCTTCCTCAAGTTGGCTCTGGTGTTCTTTGTTGTGTTGTGTGGCCGTGGATAAGGTTTGTAGCACCTGAAAGGTCACTATTGAACTGTAGTGACCTGCCAGACATTTCAGGATAAATGACCAGCAATCACAAATGATGTTATGGTAAAAGCATTATATTCTTGTAGGTATCTCACTCTGGCCGAGTGAGTAAGAAGTTAACAAAGATGGCCGACGTTAATTCACCAAAAGGAAGTGAGACTCGCTGCCAGCAGAAAACTGAAGAGACTCAACAGTCCTGCAAGAAAATTAAGGTTGACCAAACTATGGTGAGCGGCACTCTCTCATCTTGCAGTTATTAATCCAATATTGTTGTTATTATTGTTAATGTATTATTATAACTTTGTTATATTACTCTTATTACTGTATTCATATTTTTAACATTTTCAGGAAGATGACACATGCAGAGGCTGGGCTTGCTGCACAGACGACAATGAAATTAAGGTGAAACATGGTAAGAGTCATTTAATGTATTCAATTATAAATTGTAGTAAGTTAACCCTTAACTTGCGCATCGCATCATATGATGCTTTGACCGACTTGCAGTAAATTGCGCATCGCATTATATTATGCTTTGGAGTTCTACGCAAGATTTAAATGGCCCGTGGATACACGGGGTTCACCACACCTTCATCAGGGCTCTTGTAAACAGACGCCATTTTTTTTTTAAATTGTGGGCCAAATTCCTGGGTGTTAGGGGCCTCAATATTGAGTGAGCTACCAAGCCTGATGCACGCATCATGAGCTCACAGCACTGCTGTTCAGCTTGTGACCACAGCATCACCTAAAAATGCCATAATATACTTGTTCATGCTATTATTTAGCAATGATAGTATTACAGAAGACCCCTGACTGTGATAGAACTGACCAGGGTTCTGATAATAGCAGGATTGTGGTGATATTTAGCGCTGTGCTCCAAGGAGGGAGGAGTAATGCTTTGGGAGGGAGGGTGGTGGCGTTGTTTTCTGACAGTGTGTGGCCACCTTTTATTGACTGCACTCACTATACCAGCTTAGTGGTTCGGTATGGTGAACACAAATGTATCTACTTATATATAACGTGTGTATAGAGGGTATAAACAGCAATAGGAGTAGGTTGGGAGCCGCCGTTTTGGAGAGGGAGGTGGCGTCGTCTGCACGACTTATCATGTTGTTTACTGGTGACCACTATGGTCTTTGGGCACCATACCAGTTAACTTGTACAAGTATGGTGAATAAAACAGGTTGATACTTATATATAATGTGTGTATATAGCGTAATAACACCACAAACAGTATTGTTGGAGGATAAATATTAGTGCCTCTGGCCTTGAGGGTGGCCGCCACCAGCTGACTGTGTGAGTAGCTACGTCTTTGTGCCTTTACTCACCATACAAGCTTAGATGTACAGTTATGGTGAACAAAACATGTAAATACTTATATATAACCTCTGTATATAAAAGCAAAAACAGTATGGTGGGTGGAGAATGGTGGCAAATCAGATGAGGTGAGGGAGGGAGGGAGTGGCAGCCAGTGGCGGGCTGCCACTGGCTGCCATTGCCACTGCCACTCAGCATACCAACTTAGTGGTTCGTTATGGTGAACCCGAATGTAGATACTTATATATAACGTCTGTATATAGTGAATAAAAGCAAAAACAGTATTGTGGGAGGAGAATGTGGACGAGTGAGTGGCTGGCTGGTGTGTGGCGGTCACTCCTCGTTACTTTTTGACTCATAATAGCAACTTAGTGGTTCGTTATGGTGAACAAAACATGCAGATACTTATATATAACCTGTGTATATAGTGTAATAACTGACAAAGTATTTGTTCACTGTTTGATGAACATAATTGAATCAACAATATGCACACCATATTTTTGAGTACAGCGATGATTCACACATTTTATTATATAAATATATCACACTACACACTATTGAATAATATTACAGCAAAAAACTACAAAAAATCAATCAGAGACATTTAAATAATTAGGTAATTATCTCTTTGTGGCAACTCTGGCCTGACAGCTGGCGAGCAACAGACTGTCTGGGATGCACGCTGAGTCAGCGCCTGTTTTTTTGCCAGACTTCCCCGCCCTATAGCGGGCAATATATGCCACTTACGATTTTTTATTATATTTCCCATGATCAGTGAACACAAATTAACAGGTTTAGTAAAAAAATTTTTTTTTTTTTTGGTATGCGCCTGTGAGTGACACATGCTAAATAGCCAGGCGCCATACAAGGGTTAAGCGCACAGGAGTACAAGATCATCGGGGAAAACAGCAATGTCTCTCTCTCTCTCTAATGCTCAGCGGGGGTCAACGCAGATCCAGGTGTATCATTAGAATTATGTTTCAAAATTGTTCCTTAATTGTCTGAAGTACTGTAGTGAGAAAATTATAGTAATGGATGGAAGTAGTAATAGTAGGACATTAGTAGTACTGTAATGGAAAATTAATGGAGTATTTGAAATGCTGATAGACAAACAACAAGCTAATTATCCCCTTAATTAGTTTTAATCAAGATTGTTTTCCATGTCAGATTGCCCCATTTTATGCACATTTCTGCATTATCCAGAAGTACAGTAAGTAACAAATTCCCTTCCACAGCAATCATAGTTCTGTTACCGTTGAAGTTTACTATTGGACAGAAGACAGATCAAGTGTGTTCCATCCTTTAGGGATAAGCTCGAAGGTTCGGTTGGGCCACAATGTCCTGTCTTCCTAGTTTGACACTCTCTGTTAGGAAGTTGAGCCAAGCTTTGTATACCTGGTCTTGAGGTAAGATGTATTTTGTTAATGTGGTGCCCATGACCTCACTCTTATGGCTCCAGAGAAGTTGTACTGTATCATTCAGGGACTATATTTAGCCATTTCTCAACAGAGCCGTTGGAAGTGGAGGATCAGGCAGATTCTAGTGACCGTTCCCATGATGGGCGTGTTACGGGAGAGGAAGACAGAAAAGACCCGCTCTTCATTGATACTGACTCTACGAACGTGACAAGTGAAACATCTGATTGCAACCAGGTGAGCAGTTGTCATGATTGTATTATGACTTTTTCTGTGGAGATCCCCTTTGGCTCCTTGGAGCTATACCGGGCTGATGTGTATATATTAGACCTTGGCAACAGTCACTCAAAGGAGTTCTAGGCCTACTGGGGACCAGCGCCAGAACCTGGCCCCCTCTAAGAGGCATGAGTAGCAATGGCCTGTAGACACCCCGTGTTGATGGAAGCAGTCTATTTATGTCATCTACCAGGTCAGGCACCCAGAAAGGTAGGAATCCCAAAACAAACTACAGCTGGTAAAAAATTGCTAACCGAAAGCTGTACGAGCAAACAGAACTCCCCAATCAGAAAACAAGCAAACAAGCATGACGTCACCACAGCCGCCTCGCCGCTGTCTGCCCAACTTCCCCCTTGCAGGGAGGGGGATGTGGGGGTCCCAGACCTCCCGTGCCAGCTTCCCAACCACAGTTCAGTGGCTGTTGTGTTTGGTGTCAGTCGATTGACTTTGGGTCCATCCTTTTGAGTAGTGCTGCCCACGGCGGTGTTGTTCTATGTAGTGGTGTGCGAGCCAGGAGTAACACTAGAGTACTGGGGCTGCATACGCCTAGGGCCACCTTCCCTAGATGCCCTGTAAGTACTGCCCTTGCGGTTTAGGGTTATCTTCCATAGGCCATTCGGGAGTCTACCTCTGTGTGGTTCCTTTGCTGCTCAGTGATTGCCCACCCTTGGGGTCAGCTGGGGTTGATCTTACAGCTGTTTGACCTTGGTAGATGGTAGTATCATCACTGGCTGGGGTGCAAGATACTGTGCAGCTGTCTGATATACGCATAGCGGCAGGTTCTGATCCCCTGGGCGCGTTGTGCTTTTGCAGAGGTTTTTCTTTTTTTGGGGGGAGGGGGGGAGCCTCTTCAGCTCTCCCAGAGCTTATCCAGGCTGATATGCTAATGTCAGACTTTGGCATCAGTCATGTGTATGGAGTTCTATGGGCCTACCGGGGACCACGAGCCAGAACCTGGCCCCCTCAGAGAGGTAAGGGAGCAATGGCCTATAGAAACCCCGGTGTGGTTGGAAGCATTCTGTGTGTGCCATGGACTGGGTCAGGCACCCAGAAAGGTAAGCGTCTCAAAACAAACCCTTATTCTGGTAAAAATTGCTACCACAAGCCGAACAGGTAGATAGAACTCCCCTAAAAGAAACGAGCAAACGATAATGACGTCACACATCGCCGCGCAGCTCCCTCCTCCCCGAGAGGGGGAAGGGGGAGCCCCAGACCAAGTAGGCACCCTTCAGTCAAAAGACTATGGAGTTGCGCCCTGACAGGGCGCAAAGCCTGGGTAGGTAGATATGGAGGAGAAGTTGTTACCCATGCAGCAGGTTCCCCCTCTCCACGTTGCTGAAATTATCCAATAGAAAGGCAAATGCCAATACACATGGTTCCAGCAACGTCGCAGGAGCTGCCAGAACGAGGGTGACGTCAACAACGAACTGCCTTGGGGCTCCAACTCCGGATTTTTCCTCGAGGTTGACTCCTGAAGCCTTTCCCAAAAAAGGGGTATGGCCGCAAGGTAGCGGAGGTTTAAAATCAGGGTTTTCCTTCCCCCTAGATGGGCTGCCTTCCCAGGCTATCGAGTCCCATCTACCTGGAGCAGCTGGTTTTAAGGCGCCAGAGGTACGCCCTTGCTCCTTCTCCTGTCGGTAAAAGCAGTTCCACCAGACTTAAAGACTAAGCCACCCATGCAGGCCAGGAGTTGGACTTGGTTGTCAGAGGCTATTGGAGACGCATGCCATATAGGAGCATTTTATAGGTCATGAGAGCTCGTCCCCCATTACCACCCCCTGGCTATGACAACCCCTTGGAACCAGCCCCAGACCTACCGCACCGGCTATCCACTATCAGTTCTTCGGCTGATGCTAAAGGCTGAGGTCATGTGCTCCGGCTCTGGTGGTTGTTTCAGCTATGTACGTAGTGTGTGTGGTGACTGTCTTCTAGGTGGTGCGTGAGCTGGGAGTGATTCTCCAGTACTTGGGCTGCATGTGCCTAGGGTTTCCTTCCCTAGGTGCCCTGTAAGTACTGCCCTTGGGACTTGGGGCCGCCTTCCACAAGTCCCTTGGGTTCTGCTTCTGCTAGGCCGTTTACTGCTTGGTTTTCGGCCGCCCTCTGTGTGCTCGGGTGTTCTGGCTTCTTTGTTTGTCTTAGAGTAAGGGGCAATTTTGCACTGTTGGGGCGCAGGGTACTGCGCAGCTTGTTTTCACCAATCATAGCAGCCGACTCTGTTCCGCCTGGGTATGCTGTCCTCTTGCGTGTTTTTTTTTTTTTTTTATCTGCTTGATCGGGGGATCTGCCTTCATTCTTGTCCCCTGTGTTCCCTGTGTATTGAGTCTCCTTCCTTCTTCCGGTGGTTCCCCCTGCTAGGTCCCCGTGAGTGTACACGTCCCGGGGGTTCAGTTCTTAGAAAGTTGTTTGGTAGCTTTGGGTGCCGGTTAGCAGTACTCTGCCTGGGATTACCTGAGCGCGAGTCCTCTTATAGTAATGCTCAGGACCCTGGGAAACCCCTGGGGGCGCGCGGGTCCAATGGATGTGACCCCGGAGTCCCCCTTCGCTTCCAGCGAGTTTGAGGGTTGCTCTCACCCCTTGTCTCAGTGTGACTCTCTGTCTTGCCTCCGTCTGCTGCCTGTCGGGGTGCGGACCTTCGGCCCGGAGTCATGCGAGTTTTGTTGCTTGTTGTGGCTCGGTTACCTAGTCTTATGATGACTTTACGGGTGCAGGCAGGACGGGTGTTGCACATTGAACTTCGATGGTGGCAATGCTCTCGGTTGTTTGCTCCCTGGAAGCCCCGAGGCTGCCCCGTTTTGGTTGGTGTTGGGGCTTGGGGGTGTTGGTTGCTTCGGTTCCTTCCACATCCCCTTGTCTTTCCTCTGTTGTGATCTAATCTGGGCCCCTTTCCTACCTGCAACCGGATTCTTACCATCTGTGGGTTCGGGCGGGGCGGGGTTGTTGGTTTTGAGACTCTGGTGATCTCAAGGAATTCCTCTTCCGGGGTAGCGACGGGGGCATTTGAGCCTGTTCCCCCAGCCGTGTTGTAAGATTCTGCCAGTGGGCTCTCTTCCTTAGTATTTTCATGGCTGCCCCGTTTTTTTCTTGTGATGCCGGGGCTTTGGGAGGACGGCTCAGCCCCGGAGCCATGCCATGTGGGTTTCCGGGACTGGAAAGGGGCTGCCTTGGGGAGCCTAGGGCCCCGTTGGACCCAGCAGGTTTTTTTCTACCCTCTGGGTGGGGCTTGCGGTAATGCGGAGTGGGTTTTTTCCCTTCCCCCTCGCTGTATGATTTTTTGGGCGTCGGCCCCCTCTCCAGGCTCGGTTCCTTGTCCCTTGAGTCAGTTGGTTCCATCCTGTAGGTGGGTGCTCTTCTCCATTATTCCCTCCCTTTTCCTTGGGGTAGAATGTCTCTGTCATGTTTCCCTCTTCTTGGGGTTCTGCATGACTTTTGGTCTCGGGTGCGGCTGTGCCTTTATGCGTTCGTGACTTGTGCTTGCTTCTGTGTTCTCAAGAGTTCAGGAAGGTTTCCGCTACTTTCCATATTATTGGGACGTCTGTTGTCTTTCTATGTGGCTTCCCTCTGGTTCTTTCTAGTTCTTGTTTGTCCTTTTCTGTGCTTACTCTTGGTTTTCGATCCTGTCTCGTTCTTTTGTGTTTTCTTTTCTCTCCGTGCTCTGTCTCGGCGCTGCTCATTTTCTTTGCATACTCCTGGTCCGGGATGCCAGTTTGGGCTACTTGTAGCCCAATTAGGTTCCCGATGGGGTTCCTTGTCTTCATCTCGTAAGCCGGCTATGTTGTCGCTGCTTACTCCTCTTTTGGCTCCTGTCCCGTGTGATGGGCTGTTTCTTCTCTTTAGTGGTTCACTCGGGTCACATACTGTTTGGCTACTTTTTGTAAAGTAGTCCTAGTAGGCGCCATCCCGCAGAGCGGGTTGTGCGGTTCGGACAGTGTCTCCTGCGCATGCACTGTGGGAGTTTGTTTTGGTCAGGGTGGTGTGCACAAGTGCTGGTGTTTTGCGTCCCTTTTTCTCGGGTGCTTCACCTCTCACTCTTCTCCATTCTCCAGTCCATGCCCCGTAGCTCCTGGGGTGTTCTGGATTGCAGCTATAGGGAGGACGCCAGAGTTTTCCCTGTGTCATGGGTGTGGGGCGTCTCTTTCGCCTCTTCCCTGCTCTCCTGCATGTGCGGCTATGGCCTTTCTTCCCCTGGCGGTGCTCCTGGGGTGTTATAAATAGGAGTAAGTTCTATGGGGGATCTAGTATTAATTTAGAGTAGGGTCAGTAGTTAGCATTAAGAGGTATCAAGTATGGGAGATCTAAAAGGCCCGGCCCCCAATAAACATAGAAGAGTAAACTTATAGTGGCTTATTACTGCAATTGTCAGCCTAGAGGTAGATCATAGATCTCCTACACAGGAAGAATGGATACTCCTTAAACTAACTAACTTACTTATTTATTAACCCCTTAACAACCCCCATATACATTCACACCAATAACAATAATTACTTTACCACACTATCTTACGTTAAAAGCCTTGGTCCACATAGGCAGGATACAAGGTTTACACTGAGAACAAGCTAGGGTAAAGTACTACTAGTAAAGAACTTGAAGCTTGAGTCAGCTTAGGGTAGGGAGACCACGTGGTTCCACTGGGACCCCCTTAGAATAACTAGGAATATAAACACTAGGAACACCTAATTCATACAAAGTATAATACTCTACACATTAGAACACGTCTATGCCAGACAATGAGGACACAATACAGTATACTAATCTTGGTAAACTAGACACAGAAATAGAGAAGCAAGAGGAAGAGGAGGAGGTACTTTTCACCACAACGCCAGCCCAGAGAAGGCCGCATCCAGCGTCCCATCCAGGGCTCCTGAGTTGTTGTGGTACCGGGAAGAGCCTAATTGATCGTGCAGCTATACACATTAAAAATCTTCACCGATGTACAATATTGTTTACTTTGCTCGTTCTAAGGATAGTTAATAATTACTACAATGTTATACTTAATCCACAACAAGCTCAAGAGTCTGAATGCTTTGTGAGCAACAAGATTCATCCTACGTTTGGCAAGGAAGATACGAGCAAATACACGTCGGCAAGCGTGTCAAATATATGGTAGTTTATTTAGCTCAATTTGACCTCTGGTTTCCAATTGAGGAACCCAGGGTCGTAACATGGGGTCTTTTCAGCAAAGTTGTGTCGTGACACATTCGTGCCTATATATATATATATATATATATATATATATATATATATATATATATATATATATATATATATATATATATACATACACGAACAAGCCTGAATGATCCCCAGGACGATATGCAACTGATGTGTTAATACATACATATACACACATCACAAACAATAAACATATTACCGAACATTCTGAGAGATAAACATATACATTTCCTCCTTTACACAAGTAAAGGTTTTTAATTTACAAGACATATGAATCTCAAAAAATATATTAACAGTCTCATCTCCATAGTACTTTTTCGTTTGCTAGATTGTGCAAACCAGATCTGGTAACTGTAGGCCAAGTACTGGAGGACTTCACATAGACAATGGATGGGAAGCTAATAGTCACTTTGAAGAAGTCAAGAAGTCAAAAAGATCTTCCAGCTATAAAACATCAGCACACATGGATCATCCTGGTACATCAAACGGTAAGAAATTACTAAACTGTACAAAGTTTTATGCTAGAACATTTGTTACAGAATTGTCCCTGAATTCAGGGATAATTCAGTCCCTGTCCTATGTGTACTCCATCACAATAATTTTGTTGACACAGTGTATATTTTGTCAATTCTACAACAGCAGATAATAAGAATTCCCAGAGATACAGTGGCACCTCGATTAACGAGTTTAATCCGTTCTGGCAACGAGCTCGTTATGTGGAAAACTCATCTTAAGAAACAAATTTCCCCATTTAAAATAAAGGAAATAAATTTAATCCGTTCCACGCCCAAAAGCATCCATACTTGTAAGACATTTTATAATGTAAATATAATACTGCACGTGTAATTATAAATGTTTTGTTGTACTGTTTTCATGTTTACTTTACTTTATGAAGAGTCGTTGCTGGCTTGAGGGAGACGATGGGGAGCTGGGAAGGAGGAGAGGCGTTATGGTGTGGAAGGAGAATCCACCTCTGAGTCAGGCGGGCGCTCTCTTCTTGGGAATTTCACCCCACTGGGACCGGGTTGTGGTTCACAATCACTGGCTCTTCTTTTCTCTACTTTTGCAAAAAACGTGTCTATTGACAATTGCTTGTCTTTGTTTTAGGATGTCCCTAAAACGAGACAGCAAATTGTCATTAACATTTGTGTTGCTCAGGGCTAATTAGCAATTGTCACCCACAGGCACATACCAAAAAAACAAAAAAAAATTCTTCTAAACCTGTTAATTTGTGTTCTCTGATCATGGGAAAAATAATACAAAAATCGTAAGTGGCATATATTGCCTGCTATAGGACGAGGAAGTCTGGCCAAAAACAGGTGCTGACTTGGCGTGCATCCCAGGCGGTCTGTTGCTGTTGCTCCCAGCTCTCAGGCAGGAGTGGCCATAAAGAGATAATTTCCTAATTATTTCAATGTCTCTGATGGATTTTTCGTAGTTTTTTTTTGCTGTAATATTATTCAATAGTGTGTAGTGTGATATATTTATATAATAAAATGAGTGAATCATTGCTGTACTGAAAATTATGGTGTGCATATTGTTGATTCAATTATCATGTTCATCAAACAGTGAACATGTACTCTGTCGGCTATTACACTATACTGTATACACAGATTATATATAAGTATCTGCATGTTTTGTTCACCATAACAAACCACTAAGTTGGTATTATGAGTCAAAAAGCAACGAGGAGTGATCACCACACACCAGCCAGCTACTCGCTCCCACGACTCCTGTGCCAGGTAAGTCCACTACTGGCTCACCATAGCCCGTGCTACTTGCCCCGCTCCTGTGCCAGGTAAGTTACGGACTCACCATAGCCCATGCTACTTGGAATTTGTTCCGAGTAGCTTAATCTATAATAACAACAACAACATACTCGCTCCCTCAACACCTCACTCGCCCACATTCTCCTCCCACCATAATGTTTTTTATTTTATTCACTATATACAGATGTTATATATAAGTATCTACATTCGTGTTCACCATAATGAACCACTAAGTTGGTATGCTGAGTGGCAGTCCGCCACTGTCTGTCACTTCCTCCCTCCCATACCTCACCTGACTCGCCACCATTCTCCTCCCACCATACTGTTTTTGCTTTTATATACAGACGTTTTATATAAGTATCTGCATGTTTTGTTCACCATAGCGAACAACTAAGCTGGCATAGTGAGTCCAGACAGTAAAAGGTGGTCACACATAGCAGACAACGCTATCTCCCTCCCCACCAAGATTACTCCTCCCACTACAGCGCTAATTATCACAACAATCCTGCTATTATCAGAATCCTGGTCATTTTTATCACAGTCAGGGGTCTTCTGTAATACTATCATTGCTAAATAATAGCATAAATATATATAATATGGCATTTTTAGGTGATGCTGTGGTCACAAGCTGAACAGCAGTGCTGTGAGCTCATGCTACATGTGTCAGCCTTGGTGGCTCAATCACTACTGAGGCCCTAACACCCGGGAATGAGGCCCATGATTTAACCCTCAAACTGCGCATATCATATATAAATGATATCAGTGACAAAACCGAAACCGCGCACATCATTTATATATGATTTCGTGTCTAGCGCTATAATTTAAACACCCTACCTGGGATAGGGGCAGCTATAGTACAGCCACGACCGATAGTTGCCAGATGCCACCTAGAAAAAAAATCCAGGCCAACATTCTTGGGTGTTACAAAGTCAGTATTGAGCAAGCCACCAAGGCTGGCGCACGCAGCACAAGCTCACAGCACCGCTGTTCAGCTTGTGACCACAGCATCGCCTACAAATACCATAATATAAATGATACTGCTATTATTTAGCAGTGATAGTATTACTGAAGCCCCCTGACTGTGATAAAACTGACCAGGATTCTGATAATTGCAGGATTGTGGTGATATTTAGCGCTGTGCTCCATGGAGGGAGGAGTAAGGCTGTGGGAGGGAGGGTTGTGGCGTCGTCTTCTGACTGTGTGTGGCCACCATTTATTGACTGCACTCACCATACCAGCTTAGTGGTTCGATATGGTGAACACAAATGTAGATACTTATATATAACGTGTGTATAGTGTGAGATAACAGCGAGAGGAGTAGGTTGGGAGCCGCCATTTTGGTGAGGGAGGAGCGTCGTCTGCACGACTTGGCATGTTGTTTACTGATGGCCACTATGGTCTTTGGGCACCATATAACAGCTTATTTGTTCAGGTATGGTGAATAAAACAGGTAGATACTTATATATAATGTGTGTATATAGCGTAATAACACCACAAAAATATTGTTGGAGGACAAATATTAGTGCGTCTGGCCTTGAGGGCGGCTGCCGATCAGCTGACTGTGTGAGTAGCTACGTCTTATGGCCTTTACTCACCATACAAGCTTAGATGTACAGTTATGGTGAACAAAACATGTAAATACGTATATATAACGTCTGTGTATAGTGAATAAATACAAAAGAGTATTGTGGGAGGTGAATGAGGGTGAGTGAGGTGGTGTTGAGGGAGGGAGTGGCAGTGAGTGGCTCGCTGGTGTTTGGCGGTCACTCCTCGTTGCTTTTGACTCACAAGACCAACTTAGTAGTTCGTTATGGTGTACAAAACATGCAAATACTTATATATAACCTGTGTATATAGTGTAACAACAGCAAAACTATTTGTTTATTGTTTTATGAACATAATAATTGAATCACTAATATGCACACCATAATTTTGAGTACAGCGATGGTTCACACATTTTATAATATAAATATACCACAATTCACTGTATGGAATAATATTACTGCAAAAAACTAAGAAAAAATCAATCAAGAGACATTGAAATAATTAGGTAATAATATATTTGTGGCAACTGCCGTCTAACAGCTCAGGCGGAGTAGACCTCGTCTGGCGAAGGCTCTGCCAACGCCCCTTTTTTGCCACACTTCCCTACCCTATTGTGGCTAAAATATGCCACCTACGATTTTTTTGTTATTTTTTCCGTGATCAGGGAACAAAAATGAACACTTCTATAAGGCGAAAGAATTTTTTGGAATTTTTTTTTTTTGTTGCGCCTGTGGGTGTGAATTCCATTTGGGCCCCTAGCGGTTTGAGGGTTAAAAAAAAAATGGCGTCTGTTTACAAGAGCCCTGATGCAGGTAGTGGCAGTGTGGTGACCTGACCCCCAATTGTTTTGTATCTGCGGGCCATTTAAATCTTGCGTAGTACTCCATTGCGTCATATGACGCGATGCGCAATTTATTGCAAGTTACTCAACCCTGCATATGATGTGTTGTGCAGTTTAAGGGTTAAACATGTTCACACACCGGGTTGTCACTGCTTTATCAGGGTGATGCTTTTCCAAGAATGCGGTCACCTTTTCAAACATTCCCAACACTTCCCTGATCTCACTGGAAGAGGCAGCATCCTCCCTTACCTCCTCCCCCCCCCTTATTAATGGTGCAAATTGTTGATGCGGACCTGCAATGCTCCCTTGTGAGATCAGTCACACAGACACCACGCCCATGCTTTGCTATAATTTTCTTCTTCAAATCCACAGTACAGGCATACCTCAGAATGCGAGTTTAATCCGTTCCTGGAGACGCCTCGCCTTCCTATTATAGGTTAGGTAATAAAACTCGCATTCCGAAGTTAATTTCCCCATAAGAAATAAAGGGAAATGAATTAATCCGTTCCTGACTACCCCGAAAAACCCCACATCAAACTAAATTTTTATACCTAATTTACCTAATTCATCTAAATAAACCTACAAAACTATGTTCCAGTTATTACTTACCTTGCTGTCGAGTGCTGTAGGCGTATGGAAGATGGTGAGGAGGGGGGGAGGAGGAGAGGAGTTACTGTTTGGAAGGGGAGTTCCCTTCCATAATCACATCAGGCAGTGAGGACCTTTCTGGTGTGCTCTCCCTGGGACGTTTAACCTGAGTGCCACTAGGTCCTGGTTGAGGCTCACTGCTCGATTTCCTCACCACAAATCTGTCCATGGAAGCTTGCTTTTCCCTTCTTCGCAAGCTGTCTCTGTAGTAAGGCATCACATTGTCATTGAAAAGATTAAGACAACGACCTACTACAGCTTTCTCTGGGTGAGTCTGTTCAATAGTTGTTTGAATCTCTTCCCACATCTGACACACCTTCTTAATTACTGCAGAAGGGACATTCGCTGGTGCTGTTGGTGCTGCTGCCACCTCCTCCTCCACTGCAGAATCATTCGCTGCTGTGTTGGCTTGCTGTTCCTGTTGAAGGGCTAGGAGTTCTTCGGTGGTCAGTTCTTCGTTGTGTTCTTCCACCAACTCCTCCACATCATCACCATCCAATTCCAAGCCCATTTGCTGGCCTAGACTAACAATTTCCTCAACAATAGGCGCATCATTTATAGGCTCAAACCCCTCAAAGTCTAGTTCTCTCACACCTTCAGGCCACAATTTTCTCCAGCCAGAGATCAGGGTTCTTTGAGTCACTTCTTGCCAGGCTTTGTCAACGAGTTTTAAAGCACTACAAAT